CCATCCATCCATCCATCCATCCATCCATCCATCCATTATCTATACACCGCTTAATCCTCACTAGGGTCGTGGGGGAGCTGGAGTCTATCCCAGCTCCCAGCTGACTCAGGGTGAAGGCAGGGGACACCCTGGACAGGTCGCCAGTCTATCGCAGGGCTGCACTTAGAGACAGACAACCAAGCACACTCACATTCACACCTATGGACAATTTAGAATCACCAATTAACCTTTTTGAACTTGTGGGAGGAAGCCGGAGAACCTGGAGAGAACATGCAAACTCCACACAGAAAGATCCTGGTGCCCCCATCGGGACGCGAACCTTCTTCCTGCGAGGCAACAGTGCTACCAACTGCTCCACCTTCAGCCCACCATGCAGCCCCATTGGGAAATATAACAATTTAAAAAACAAGACAAAAGAAACAGGATTATCCTTCAATGTTGCGTTAGCTTGTTCTATTTTCCCTCGATGTGAAAAAAAAAAAAAAAAAAAAGATTTGGAAAGCTTTAAAAGAAAAGCGTGGTTGCTTTCCTAGTTCCTAAAAAGTCAATATTCTGTCAATGAATTTCATCCCTTTCAAAACAGCCCCACACAGAGACCCCTATTCTGAAGCAATGCAGTAACAAAGCCACTACTGGTAACAGACTTATCCTGACTACTTATGCAAATGACATCAAGCTATTCTGACAAGTTATTTCTCCTAACTCCTTTACTCTCCACATCCTCTCACTGCTCTGCTGTACTTAAAGAGACACGATTCACTAAACAATTAAAATGGTAGTCACCTTCATTGTGAGCCATTCAGGAAAATGAAAGTCAGAGAAAAGTCACAGAGAGCCACACGTCTTATCCGACTGGCCCTTATAAAGGAAGAACAAAAGGTCTTTCCCCCTCATTTCCCATTAACCTCTATGCTCCTCCGCACACAGGAAACATGGCGACCTCAGTGGCCCATGTCACATATCTCATCCGACTGTGGGGACCACTTCCTATGGCTGATGGTGACATTCAGTGAGGGGGTTTTCTATCTAGCCGGAGTCCTTGACAGATAAAAGGTGGGTGTTGATATTTGTGCCTGGTCTACTGATACCGTGTGGATACACTCTTGATAAGCGTGGAACTGCTATGACATTGATAAGTCTGGAGTGGAACTGACAAGCTCAAAAGTGGATAATATCGTCAGGAGAAGCAGGCTGTTACGGTCTGGATTAGATTTTTGATTATTTGACGCAGGTGGGTTCACGCTAAGCAAAAATACATCAGTACACTCAGCATTGTCTGCACTCAATACCAGACGTAATGCAGCACCTTTTAGCATGGGCTGTAATTACATTATAATGGTTGCCAGTTTCTTCTCACTGTGGAGATTTGTTCATAAGCAGCACACTTCACCTATATTTGCTTATTTTCTGTTAACATTCCTGTGGACTTTATTAGTTATCCAGTGCTCAAAACACTTCCAGAAATCCACTGAGTCCAGCACAAATTCTCATTTCAGTGTGATAAAGATGAAACACTACTGTAAAGAAACCGGTGATTTATGAATATGAGGCGAGAGAGATGAATGACTTATTGTTTGTTTGTCCGGGGCGTCTAATTCCTCCCATAATGCCGCAGCACATGAAAACTTAACAAGAGGAAAACTAGTTGCTGAAAGAAAAGCCTTTCAAGCAAACAACTGAGCATTCGTGAATGTTTAATTAATCAGTAGTGACAAAAGGGAACAACAATCAACAAAGAGATGCCGATTTCCATTTCTTATGCATTAGTCCCACTGGCAAATCACAGAGTGCTGTCAACCACCACTTTACTCTCTCCCCATCACTACAGTTGTCCCTGCACTACACTGACAAAACCCTTGGAGAGCTACAGTACATTTTAACTGAGATCCAAGGCAGTGAGCAGCAGGGATCAAGGAACAGAGTTCAGACAAGAAGAGTTCACTGTTATTCTGTGTTTACATGAATACTTTTGCATTGTGTTTTGCTCCTTTTTGCTTCCACCACAGCAGCAGCTAATAGGAATCAGCTGCAATCATGGTGAGAAGCTGAAGCTAAATCATCGTTGTCTCAAAGAAACAACACCAAGGCTGCATCCTACAGATGGGTTATACCAAACAGATTCCATTGCATACGTACCACCATCTGCCCTAGCATGTTATGTCAGCTTCATGACAGGTAACAAGAGGAAGCTCGATGAGGAAACACAATAACAAGCGCATACCGCCCAACAACAGACCTCAACGCCCTCACTGAACTCCTCCAATGTCAAAACGGCATAAAGACACACTCTGATCTCTTTCCTGCCACTGATGGAAACATTTTTCTACAAGACTCCTGCTGCTCTGGGGTCAGTGGTAAGGCTCCCCTGAAGAAAAAACACAGTGTAACGATCCACTTATGGCCTTCTGCCAATCCTAGATGAGCTATACATTATCATCACACTGTGGTCATTTAAATGCATGAATGGAATACGAATGAGAATATATGAATATATTAGCATACAGTGCATGCAATGTGTTTGCAATGGTTTGTGTACCAGTTTGTAGGGCTTGAAGAATGGTAGCTTGTGGCAATTAGCATCAGTCAGTGTTGTCAGGCTTCATGAGAGTTGGTGAGGGTGCATGCACGCCCTTCATGTGCTTCTTCTGCTTTCTCTATGATTATACTAAAACGCTGAAATCTTGAATTAAAACCATCCATTTAAAGACTTTTCTACAGGGAAGTCTGCTAAGCTTCACTGTTGTGTGAGGACGGGGGGAAAAAAAGCTTAACTGACCAAATCTTAGTCCTTCTAATACAAAATAAGGTAGTCCTCTTACTCCTGGTTTCCTTTCTTCCATTTTGTCATCAATCACTTATTATATTCGGAGCTTTCTAACCTTTCCATAAATATTTAGTATCGTGTTCACTAGCACGAATATCACATAACTGAATGTACAGAGGAAAATGTTAAGGAATGCAGTAATAATTCTATATATTCCCAAATGGTTCACATCGTAAGATAGTATGACCCTTGACCTATACAAAGTGGAGAAAAGCATTTTTTATGCTTGCCAGAAGGGCCAGTGCTCTACCTACATATGCTGATGCTGCTGCAGCATGTCTGAAATGTGCCAATAGTGCTTTTTCAGTTTCTGCAAAATTCCGACTGTGTGCGACAGTGAAAGTTTAGTATAGCATTTCCTGCTTTCTTGATGTAGTGAATTGTTTAGTTTTACAAAATAAAATTGTCTGACTCATGCTTTGCGTGTTGTTCGTTCTTTGCAAGTGGGCTGTTTGTGGAGAGCCTTCCCTAAGTGTGTGTTGACACTGACGGCAGTTGTTCAGTTGCAGCGCTTAGCTATGGGTGAAGTCCCAGTGATTTGATTTGATTCATTTTTCTTGTATTTTCATTTGGCGAAATACTCATAGCAGACAAGCATGTATATAAGCATACTCATTTCCTCTTGTTCTTATTCACTCATTATTTTTATGCAATAGGCCATTAGAGATCAGCCGTCGCGGAAATCTCACACACTGATTAGGCTGCTGTGTGGGGCAGAAGATAGAAATGAGGTCTGTCTATTGTGACTTACCAACAGCAGACATCTCTGGAACGGAGGCACGGTACGGGCCTTCAATGAACTGCGGTGGATTGTCGTTTATGTCCTGAACTTTGATGATGAACTCGGATGGTGGCTCCAAAGGCTCGTCTGTATCGGCGTTAATGACCTGGGCTGTTAGTGTGTACTCAGCCTTCTCCTCGCGGTCCAGCCTCTTCATGGCATGGATGTCACCTGTTAACTCATTGATTGCGAAGATGGTGCCTGCCCCCTCACCCGCTAAGACGTACTTGACGTTCCTGTTGCCCACATCCAAGTCTGTGTGTAGCTGCAATCAAAACAAGAGGAAAAATAGAAGATAAAGTTAAAAAGCGCAGCAGAGTCCTCAGTTTGATCCACTGTATAAACACAGACGGAGGTCTTAAAAAAGCCAACCTGATATGCTCAGCAGATTCTAAAAGTTCTCACCATGTAAATGCAGCTAAGTGTACAGTATGACTTTAATGTGTTGTTGTTGCTGCTGTACTTTGCGGAAACGAGTGTAGCACAGATACTAAACGTGGCTCAACATAGCCTACACTTTGCTAAATGAGGTCCGCTGGGGACAATAACTTTATAAGTAGCACAGGAAATGGACCTTAGCCTACATTGTTTCCTCGTTATACATCACAGATACATCATACAAACACACATTGTGGGGCATATTGCTCCCTACAGTCTGAAATTCACAAAAGGAAGAAGTTAGATGTGCTTTGAATGCCCATTCTATAACACAGCAAGGCCAGAAAATCTATTTAAAAAAATGAAAGAGAAAACTCTGCACACGATGATTCATGCTCACAAATAACTAGCCCCAAAGTTACTGGGCGATGGTGCATGTTCCTCTTTTTTTTTTTGTAAATGCACTTTCATTAATTCACTAAACCTGCATTACGTGATAGGCTGAGTGGTTGGATCCCACTTGCTGCACGAGCTAAGTATAACTAATGAGTCTGACAATACTACATAAGGCTGTTCAAACATCTGTGGACAGAAGAGCAGGCAAAACCTGCTGTTTCAAGTTAAAAAGGCACATTGGACTGGCAGGAGACACAACGGAGTGGAAAGAAAGAGGTCAGGGAAAAAGAGAAACACCAGGGTTTTGACACGACAGAAGCGAAGAGCTTTGCTTTTATTCATATAAACAGGCAAAGCATCTCCTTTACTGGAAGTCACCTTTCATAAGCCCCTTGATCCCCAAGGTGAGTGACTTTCCGAGGGGAGCAGAGAGGCAACATTTACAAATCCAACAATGCTCAGTGTAGCTGGGGCACGGCTGCCAGCCCTCTTCTTTTCAGTTTGTATTTTTGTTAACATACATGCCTCTCAAACACACACACACACACACACACACACACACACACACACACACACNCACACACACACACACAGGCTTGCATCAAAACATCTGTATTCAGCAGCTTTAATTTCATTTCCTGCCACAGTGTTTCAACAGGGATTCCTGTGGGAGTGTGGCTAGGGTGCAGAATAGCAAGGTAGAAATCTGTCGGTGAAAATCCCGACCTCTAAACCCCCCGCAATGTTTTTATAAGCCCACTTTTATGCATATACTGTCTCCAAGGTGTTGTTTGTAGACACTGACAAAGCACATTCGCTTAAATTGTCACACCTTGCACTTTTGTTTTCCTAATTGTGCCATCATTTTACATGAATGATGTAGCTCATTAACACAAATGCCTCGCAACATCCTGCACACTGAGAAACTCTATAAATGAGCTTAAATTAATGACGGTCTGTCATTGTTTTTTTACCCTTTGTGTAACTTCTTGTGCCTAGTCTAATGCCTGCAGCTCAGCATATATGACTGCATGTCTGTGTTTCCCACAAAGGGGGGCAAATTGACTATTTTAGCTTGCATATTGGTTTTTGGCTGATCCATATATCATACATATTTTTAGCAAAGGATTCGGGATTTAATCCTGGTGTGCGTGGAACTGACACTCTGCTTCCTCACTTGGCACTAATACTGTAAGGTGAGGTCACCCGTGCACAGATGTATGTGCTATAATGCTAAAATTGTAAAATATGTAGAAATATGTGTTTGTGCCAAAACCCCTTTCCAGAAATGAGCTGTTAATCCCAACTTTTAAGTCAATCATGGATGAAGAGTCACAGAGATGTTGAGAGCGCTGGAAAGTTTCTGTATTTACAATTCAATGGCACATGAGCAAAGTCAGTCTGCTGATTAGGACGCTATAAGACAGTCTAAAACTCCAGAACATTCATATAAGTGGACCTTGTGTTGAAAATGTTTTAGCAAGCTCTGTTGCCAATGTTAGGAGAGAGAACTGTCATTACCAATTTGGTGCTGTTGTATTTTTGTGTTATGGTCTTTGTATGGTGCTAATATTTGTGGAGCATTGACACTTCTGTCTGCGCTTGGAAACACATATGGGGGAATATTGCAAACTCAGTGTTTACTCACTGATCCTTCTTCAGAGCTTTATCCCATCACCAAAACATGGAACATCTGTCTGATACAGTACACAGGCACCTCAAACAGCTTGTGTCACCCTGAGTTTAGAACATATCTGCACCGTATTGGTTGGTTCATTAGTATAGACTGCTATATTAACTGGGTTCTGCCATGGCCAGGTAGGATCCCAGTCAGCCTGTTTCACTTGATATTAATCAAGCAACAAACAAATCACACTTAGTGCAGTGCATCATGAGCAGTTAGTGAAATTTTAGATGTTTTACAAAAGGACTACACAAATAAAAATGGTGCACAATGCAACCAATGCACACAAAACACTGAATTATAAAAGTGGAGCTGATAAAAGGCAAGGAAAAATAGATATAAGACATGAATTTAATTCAAAATTTTAAAATAGTCATTCTAATAATAGCTGTTTTTGTGAGGCCTTCTGCAACTATTAAACCAAGGATTCATGAATCAGAGGAGCTCTGTCAGGAAACGTATGGCAACTTTAGCATACTGCACTTCTGGAAAGTGATGGTGTAAAGTCAAAAACAAAGCTGGTTCTTCAAAAACATTTGTAGCTTAACACTTTTCACAAGATGGGCATGTTGCTCCAACTCTACATTTGTTATTGGAAAAAAAAAAAAAACTGACATTTTGGTATCTTTTTTTTCTGCAATATATCTTGCAAAATGAAAATAAATAAAAAGAATTTTCACCCAGTTAGTTAAATAACTTATTTGGAGTGCAGTAGAAAGAACTAATCATTCTATAGTGACTGAGACAATTTTCTTGGGAACTGCATCTCCAAAGAAAGATGAAAAATTATATTTAATTGCTTTTTTGTGTGTAAAAACCATTTTGAACCTTTGTCATGTGACCTAACACTGGCAAAGATATCCCAAATAGCTTTTGCTTTGACTGGCATTTAGAAGTGACTTTGCTCACACCATACAGCACTTTGTGCTGCTAATTTAAATGGTCAAACAAATGAATTGTGGTGTCTCATGTAGTGGCAACAGCTGCAGAACACTGCTAACCAAAATGCATCACTTGTATCTGATTATTAATAGACACTGTAGTTTCTGAGTGTTCCTCCCATGCAGGTTAAGGCAGCGACTGGTTGGAGCAGCTGGAACAGAGAAGCTTCTCGTCACAGCAGGCTCAGGTACTGCAGCTTACACAGCTGTGTGACCAAACTCCTTTAAAACCAGTGAAACAGGGTGTGTTCATGTCATTTACCCAAGTTTGTTTTCTATGAGTGAAACACACATTGAAAAAAACAAAGCAAAAAAGAAAAACCCCTTTAAACTGAAGTAAACTTTGTTCTGTTAGTTTCAGGGTTAGGGCACAGAGAATCTATCCGCTTTCAGCTGAACAATCCTGTTGTCAAACTTTAAACGGACATCAGTCTGTACAGTGGAGAGAAAAAAACATTGACCAAAACAGTTTTTGAGTGGAAGGGCACTGTGACCTGAGCGTTATGAGGGGCTTGAGTCATCCTCTTGTTGACGGTTACTGTATGTAGCATTTTCATGAAGATACAACAGAGTTGTACAGGTAGCATAATGCTGCATTATAGTTTAGACAACTAACAAAAAAATTGTGGCTAGATAACTCCTCTCCTTTACAAAAAGGCACACTGTGTTCTATCTTTGTAAAAAGAAAAGTCATACTTTTAGCCATCACTTTGCTACGAGCTGCCACTTTAACTCTAACCAGCTACAGTTCTCACCACTGTTTTCTCTAAACGCCCTGGTTGCCCACTTCGTAGACAGCCTTCACACTGGAGTGCACAAATGGTCATCAAAGAGTACAATTACTGACATAGAAAAAAAAAGGTCTGCCACAGGTCCCTGTCATTAACTGGGTTGCCTGGGCAACTAAAACAGCACCAACAATCAGTGACATTGACTGTGGCATTCAGGAAACTAGCAGATAATGGATAACAGCACACTGTCGCCGTGGTGATTATATGCTACAATGCACGCTGCAGTCACTGAACACTGATACAGCACTCTGAACACTCACACTGTTGTGCTGGTGTTGATTCTGAATTTGACTGGTAACAATGTTAATAGAAATGTTACCAGTCTGGCTGTAAAGTCGAAACCTGTCTACAAAAAAATAACACCGACAGCGACTGCAGCGTCTGTATTCGGACCAGGAAACTTATGACTATTGCCTCAGTCGCTGTTCTCTGGCTGCTGAAAAGACAGACATCCATATGTTTTGAAGCTGCTGTTCAGATGAATGAAGAAAACCTTGGTTGACTGAAGAAATTGTCCCATGATAGTACTTTGCAGTGCTCACTGCCGGAACACATACACACATGGATGTGCACATCTCCATTTGCCAACCACAAGTCCCAATCAGGGGCTGCATGGGACTGCTTACCCTGTCAGCAGAGGAGGAAATATGTCAGTTCCAGTTGAAGATGAGCTTTTTACTGCAATCACTTGAACAATCACTGTGTCCTAATGAGGATGATTCTAGAGATTCTACTCCCACACAGCCCAACCCCACTCCTCCACCCCCGCCTCTGGCCTGGCTTCCTCATGCCTACGTGTAGCCCTACAGAGGGAATTAATTATTTTGCTCCTTGTCAGGGCAAATGGTAGATAGGACATGTGCTCCTCCTTTGTATGTACCAGTAGGACTGGAGTGGGAGAGGGAGGAGATGCAGTCACTGTGATGCAGCTTGTCACCCACTGTCTGCTGGAACAGACTGCACACAGTACGTCAGACTGCTGTCTCTGAATCCTACCTCAGTCAGTCCTTGGTACGGGTCACAGACTGCTTCTTTTTTTGGATTCAATCTATAATCAAGCTTGCACTTATAATTG